ACAGGGGCTGCAACCTATGCCGTCGCAGGCAACTCACGGCAGCCCAGCTCCAGGTTGAGCTGTTGTTCAGCATCTTAGCTGTGGAGGGCAGTGTCACTGGACCTCATATGTGGGATCCGAACCGGGGCCCTCTGGCATCCCAAGCCAGTTCTTAACCATCACGCCACTCGGCCGGCCCTGTATTTTGTTTTTTTGAGAGAAAGAACATCTCTAGAATTTGTGGTCTAGCTCATAAGTATTACTGGTCAGTATTATCAGTAGGATGGTTTTGGCTGCAAGTTACAGAAAACTCTCAACTGAAATGGACTAAATAAAAAAGATGTACCACATGACAGGAAATTCAGTAGTAGGATAGCTCCATGGTTCTGGGATCCATGTACTTTTCATCTTTCTGCTCTGCTATATTAAGCATATCAGCTTTGTTCTCAGGCTAGCTCCTCCTGGTTACAAGGTGGCTGCCAAAGTTCCAGACTTCACATAAAAACACGATAATATCTAGTGGAAGAAGAGACCACCTGTCCCTTTGTTGTGTCTGTTTTTAAAGGGAGGAAATCTCCCTCGGAATCCCTTGAGCAGTCATCTCCATAAATCTCACTGGCCAAAAATGAGTCCCATGCCCACACGTAAATGTCACTGGAAAATGGAATGGGACAGCCTTTATTTGGCAGACCAGTCAGGATTTATGTGCGCAACACTCATTCATAGGGTTGCCAGGAGCTGGTGCCAACTCAAGGGCACATAACACACACAATCAGGACTGAACTCTGAGCTGGTAAGCTTACCTTACCTTAGAGGTAGGTGCCTGAACAAAATCAGTATTCTGTTAGCAAGGAAAAGGGGGGAATGGCTAATAAGTTGGGAGCTACCAATATTTGCTGAAGATACCTTATTCATTGATAGATTCTTAGTACTGAAATCCTCAGGGGTCCATTATTATGTTCTTTGACAGTTAAACTAAAAGCTTAGAAACTAATGACATATATAAAGCTTAACCATTCTGTGGTTTTTTTGGTTTTGTTTTTATTTTTTGTTTTGACCTTTTACATTTGACACTTGAAACTCCTTGGCTTCTGACAGATAATACGCTGTCCTGATTCTGTTGCTCCTGACTGAACTTTCTCCCCTTCTGCCATTTCCTGAATCCAGATCATTTATAAGGAAGATCAGCTCTTGACATCTGCATTTACGGTAGTTACCTAGCTATTCTTTCAAGCTCAGTTGAAAGTTTTCATTGTAGGATCTAGCTTTCTACCCTGGCCTCTATTGTCTTCTACAATCTGAACCATTCAGTCCACTCCGATTTCACATAACAGGCTCTGGCCATACTGTTTCTCTAGCCAAAAGATGTCTTTTTTTCTTTCAAATACTACTATCCTTCAAAACCTAATCAGTCCCTCATCCTCCACAAAGACTTCCCAACTACCAATTCCGGTAGTACTTGTCTGCATTACTTCCTCATGTGTGCGTGTCTCATCTCCCTGCTCAATTAGACTATAATCTCTTAAACAAGAAGTGTGTCTTGGTGTGACCCTGCCGTGCTGTCCACATAGTAGATGACCGGTAAGTGGCTGAATGACTGACTCATCTATGATTATCACCTCTTTTAACAGAGGACAGTTCTGACTTGGATAGCATCGAAGCAGTTGCTAATGAAGTATTGAAAATGGAAATGCCTAGCACCCCAGAGCAGTTACAGAACTTGACAGAAGATATTCGCGAACGAGTCGAAAGCCTTTCTCAAGTGGAGGTTATTCTACAGCAAAGTGCTGCTGACATCGCCAGAGCTGAGATGTTGTTAGAAGAAGCTAAAAGAGCCAGGTATCTGAAGACACATGGCATTTAGGGGGCTGGTTTTGTGTATCTAGCCTGGAGTAAAAAAGCATTTCTTTAACCTATGAAATTTCTAAGAGTGACTGACCTCTGAGTCTCTCTGGGTCATTTCAGGAAGGCTGTTCTTTAAAGAAATATTCTTTTCGGTAAGGATGTACTTTTTTCATGTTCATGTACATTATCTCATTCTTTTACTCAGCAAAAGCGCAACAGATGTGAAAGTAACCGCAGACATGGTCAAGGAAGCTCTGCAGGAGGCAGAAAAGGCCCAGGTCGCAGCAGAGAAGGCCATTAAACAAGCAGATGAGGACATCCAAGGAACCCAGAACCTGCTGACTTCGGTAAGCTATTACAGCCATGATTACTGTGGGAGAAAATACTCGCAGGTACTCCTCTAACAGAATAGTAAGTGCATTTCATAGTTATCTATGAAATATTTGCAACTGAACACGAAAGGATTTTTTTTTTTTAAAGATTTTAATTGGGGAACTGGGGGAGGGGAACAGAAAGTTGCTGTCCTTTTGTTCTTCAGTATACTTTTGGAGGATGTCGCTTCACTGGCCCAAGTTGGTATTATCATCGCACTCTTCCCAGCTGAGACAGTCGCTCGCCGGCCATTGGTTAGCCGCTCACGGCGGCTCACGGCAGCTCATGCTGGCTGCCAGCCACTCACAGTAGCTCATGGCAGGCCACTGCAGCAGGGGCTGCAGCCTACACCATTGCCAGCGACTCTTGGCAGCCCAGCTCCAGGTCGAGCTGTTGTTCACCATCTTAGCTGTAGAGGGCGCAGCGTCACGGGCCGTAATGTGGAATCCATACCGGGGCCCTGCTGCTCAGAGCTGGCGTCCTAAGCCACCTCTTAACCAACACACCACTCGGCTGGCCCCTTTTTATTTTTATTTATTTATCCATTTTATTGGGGAACAGTGTGTTTTTCCATGACCCATCAGCTCTTAAGTCGAGTAGTTGTTTCGTTCTAGTTGTGGAGGGCACAACTCAGTAGCCCGTGTGGGGATCAAACTGGCAACCTTGGTGTTATAAGCACTGCGCTCTAACCAACTGAGCTAACCGGCTGCCCCAAAAGGATTCCTTTTTAAATAAATCTGAACTACTTCCTTAGCACAGAAGCTAAGAGTAATATGTTTTCAAGAAAAGACTGTGAAGATACTGGAACATTAATCCCTTTTCCATTTTCACCCCCACAAAAGCTTAAGATAAAAACATAAGTTTCCTGTTCTTTCAAGGAATCACACAGACTATTCAGTAATATGAAGTCCAGTGTTAGAAAACTTATAAAGCAGCCCAAAAGCAACTACATGGTCAAGACGAGTGTCTCAAGACTTATGAGGTGATCATTCACAAAACTTAACTAGTTTTGAAAAGGACTAGAAAGCCACAAAGGTCAAAATGTTTGTTTCCCATGTTCCTTTCTAGAGGAACCTAATAGATCTTACAGCTAAACAACCTGTTGTGTTCAGAATGCATGGAAAACTCAATGGTTTATCAGCAAAATACTCTTAGAAACTACCAGATATTACAGGCCCCCACTAACAAAGGTAGTTTTTCACATGCATTTAAATGCTTGATTCTAAAAATCCTTTTATATTTAAAAGGTAAACATAGTCCTATTATTTTTTTTAAATCAGTTGTATAAGCAAAATTTTTTTCCTTCCTGTTGTGGGAAAGTTCATTTCTTTTATAAAAGTGGGTGAAGAAAATTGATGACTTGTCCATGCCTCTCCATCTTCTCAGGATATTCTCTGAAATTAGATGCTCTCAGTACTGTCAGCCTTTTCAGGCCAACAACCCCTTAATGTTTAAAACCTGGTAGATGATTTTTCAACCTACTTTTCCTACCCTTAGTTGATGGTACAAACCTGTCTGCCCTATTCTGTTGCTTTCAGTAAAGTGAGGCCCAATAGTCCGTCAGCCACTTTCCCTTCTTCAAGGGAAAAGCATACGCATAATACAAGGCTTTTCTTCAGGCTACTTCTCCAAGTTTAGAAAATGATGTTTCCCAGCAGGCTAAGTTCTGACCCTTTAATTATTTTGATTTTTCTGTGTCTAGGTTTTTCAAATTTCTCAGTGTGCTGCTAACATTTTAGTGAAATGTATTTCTGTGACTTTTTGAGTTACTGTGTTTTGAGAAGCAAGTTAGAAAATACTAATCCAACTACAGGTGAGGTATTTGGCTTGATGATGTACGTGAATAATGGTGGTTCTGTTTCTCAGGGACCTTGGGGGGCAGGATGTGTTTTGGGTTAGTAATAAGAAACTAAGAGAACCTCTAACTAAACTATATATGCTAATGAAAATCTTGTCAAGAACTATTCATTCATCTAAAAATGAAACTGTAAAACTCATCTTCTAAAAATTATATCTACTCTGTAAGAATTTTTTTCCTAAGTAAATAGGTGAGCTTATAGGTCAAGAGTTATTTGATCTGAAGTACAAATTTTAGCATGTCCATACTGACCCGTTAGTTTCACTGCCATATTGTTGTTCAGAGTTAATTCTGTAGCAACAGACCCATCCTTGAAGATCATTAAGGAAAAGTGAGTGCTCAGTGAAACTGGTTTTTCCATCATGGGCCCGACTGCTTACTTTGGCTTTTTAAAACAAAACAAAAAACTCACTGTTTATTCATTATAATTTGAAATCAAATGGGGATCTTCACCAGTTGCCCAGATGGTATTTTTGCCCCCCTGAAAAACTTTTACTTATAGCTCCATCTCACAATCCTATAAGTAACTCTTAGGAGTTTTAAAGAATATTTCTGGTCTCCAAGTCTTCAGTAATTAGCTAAAAACACTAAAATTAACTTTCTAGGCAGTTTCTGGAGTGCCATAACCTCCACTACTAGCGTTTCATTTAAAGTTGACAGAAAAAACTAAAGTCAACTGGAAATTGTAATATTTCCACCCCCATTAAATTGGGAAATTTATGTGGAAATCCGTTCTGACATCTGCTTATCTATGAACATTGGCCAAAGTTCACAGGCATCTTTAAAACGCTTCTCAACACACCAAACTGTCGGGGTGGTTCTTACGTAGAGAAATCTTACGAGAATTTCAGCCTAGATCACCAGAAGTACCAAAAGAATAAAGTTAATATATGAGATGTAGCAAACAGCATTTAAAGTTGGGGCACTTCATATAAGCGTTCTTAGAATTGTATTTTCTTGTTAATTATTACTTTTGGTTGAGAGGAAAACGGCACAGCAGACTTTTACATCTTCCTCTACACTTGTGTTCATAGCAAGCACTTCCAACCATTTCTCAAATTAATCACGTGCTGGATGGTTGACATTATATTTTCGATCTATATATAGATCGAGTCTGAAACGGCAGCTTCTGAGGAAACCTTGTTCAACGCCTCCCAGCGCATCAGCGAGCTGGAGCGGAACGTGGACGAACTCAAGCGGAAGGCTGCCCGAAACTCTGGGGAGGCAGAATATATTGAAAAAGTCGTATATACTGTGAAACAAAGTGCCGACGATGTTAAGAAGGTGCGTAAATCTTTGAACTTCACAGCTACGTTGGTGAAGGAGCAGCCAGTCTCCTCACTGCCTTCCTTGGAAGTGGTAAGGGACGCAGACCTACAGTGGTTAGTCTCAGAAACATCCCGAATGACTGTTCTGATTGGCGGCCTTTAGACACAGATGGAAGAGAATGGGAGTGGACATGAAAGTATCCAATAAGCAGGTCCTAGGCCCTCAAATGCAATCTTGGGTGAGAGCTTAGAAAATGAAATTGACTTAGTGGTAGAAGTCTTAAAGCAAGCATGTTGGGCATGTGTTTCTGTATTTTATCAGGAGGATGTTTATGGTATAGTAATGAATGACCTGGGCATTTGGAGAAGCTTTAAAAACAAGGTAGAAAAAGCTGAGTTCAAGACAGAACAGCTTGGAGGAAGGAACTAACATCTCTCAATCTGCATTCATTATGTAATAACCACCCTTGTCTCTCATTACAGAAAAAATCTCTCACGACCCAAATTATTCACTAGAAGCCAAGTAATCATTGAAACACACATTCAATTTCTAAATTTGTATGGGCTTTGTCTCCAAAGAAACCTTTTTAAACTTTTGGGGCGTGTTGAAACTTTTAAATGAAGTTATAAACTTCGTTTATATGGAGTTATAAACTGACGAAGTAAAGGTTTTTCTTGGACGTTACTTTGGCTTGTGGGCATTACATAAGGGCGACTAGCTCTCTGGGTTGGGAAGAGAACAAAATAGTAAGAAAAGTTCACTGCCACGTCTGTCTTTTCCACTATGGTTTGTAGTTTCCTGCGGTTCTGAGAGCATGAGTCTCCCAGGTAGTCTTCTTACAGAGCATTTTGCATAAATATGACATTGGATTGCAATAAAAAGGAACAAAACCCCTTGACATGAAATTCCTATTATCAATGGCTGTTGTTTGGTGTTTCTCAAAAGAAATCACTTGTAAGCATCTTTCCAAACCCACACGTTTCTCCTCTCAACCATGCTGCATACGCTACAATCTTTCCCTTCTTGTCACTAAATCTGCATTTTCCCTGAGTTCCTGATAGCAAGTTTCTACAAACCCTAAATTAGTCAAGAATCCAGATGGTCCTCATTCCATTTCTTCAAAATGGGCCTTTTTGGAGGTCTAAATATTTGGATCTCAGCACAGCTGCTTTTGAGAAAATCAATTTCTCCACAGAAATGTGCTAATTAACAGAGAAAGCGGGCTTAACCTTAAGACCTGTTACAACTCCAAAGTGTCTGAAATCTTGTTTGTAAAAATCATCTTAAAGTTGTATGTAATTCTGTTTCGAGATCATGTTTTCAGTGACCTCCCATTTGAATAGCTTGAAGTGTGGGTTCCCTGACGGTGGCCCTAATCCAGAATGCTTGCTGTACTGGTGATCCAAGCTTGTCGTCATACTATGTGCTGCTCTCCGCTGTAATTACTGACACTCACATTATCATCTCTTTGTGTCTACATGTGGAATACAGACTCTGGATGGTGAACTTGATGAAAAGTATAAGAAAGTAGAAAATTTAATTGCCAAAAAAACTGAAGAGTCAGCTGATGCCAGAAGGAAAGCTGAAATGCTACAAAATGAAGCAAAAACACTTTTGGCTCAAGCCAACAGCAAGCTACAGCTCCTGAAAGGTAGGTCTTCTCACATAGGTTCACGCTTTCATAAAGAATTTTAAAATAAATATATCGAGAGTTTGTTTTATTTAAAGGGTGAAAATCTACACACTTTGTCTCAGACACTTTAAAAAGCCTTATAAGCAAAGAGAATCAGTGTTAGATTTTGAGATCATCATAGTATAAATTGCTCAAGCTTTTTCTTTTTATCTCCCACAGATTTAGAAAGAAAATATGAGGACAATCAAAAATATTTAGAAGATAAAGCTCAAGAATTAGTAAGACTGGAAGGAGAAGTCCGCTCGCTCCTAAAGGATATAAGCCAGAAAGTTGCTGTTTATAGCACCTGCTTGTAACAGGAGGAAGGGCTGTAGAATGGCTGAGTGACCAAAGTAAGACAGCTACATTTTTTAAACTGACAATAATCTTCAGAGTAAAACTCATTGCCTATTTAATGTTTTTAATCACCACGTTTTGTATGGAGTTGAATAAAGTACAGTGCTTTTGTATAAATATAATTTAGTATTCTTAAATTACTTTTACTGACTTAGTGTTCATGAATCCCTTTAACGAAGAATGTGATTTTCACTGTAAAGACAGATTTATAAACAAGTTGACTGCCTCCAGGGAGACCCTAATTTCTGTTATGTCTATAAACAAGCTATTACTCTTCTGTTTGCTAGATCAATATCCTCCACAAATCTACCCCCAAATCACTTCCCAATCATTTTTGGATAAGGTAAAGATCACCACTTCGGTGCCTGCTCAGTTGCTCTAATCTCCACAAATCCCATCAGCATTCCTTACTCTAGGACAGAGAACAAAAAGCACTTTTTAGAAAATTGTGGCTTTTAAGTATTACCACCAGAATAGGGCCAGGGTTGCCAAGGGGAAGGTTAAAATTAAATCGGTCCAGTTTCGACGTTGCTCCTGCCAACTGAGCAATGCTACTCAAAGTTCAGAACACTGCTGTAATTTCTCAGCTTTCATATTATATTTAATTTCACCAACTAAAGATTCTCTGCTAAGGTTGTAGGTGAGGCCAAAGCAATAACAATCACTTACTCTACAGGCTAAAGAAAATAGCTGGAATACAACTGCCAAGCCTGTGTCAATTTTATAGCTGAGCTAGCTGGATACCAGGCCAGGCCAGTGCTTTTCTCACACATTCCCGTTTCACAACCACCCACACACCCAACGCAGCTGTATCTGAAGCTGGGCCTGAACAAAAGTTATGTAAACAGCTGTGATTTAAACAATAAGGCAACTTCCCTCTGGTTCAAGGCAATGATTTGTCATTTTTATTTAGGTGGAGTCTAGAACTGTTAAACCAAGTGGTCATAGCTCATCATCTACTAGAGCAACTAAGTCTTTTCCCGCTAAGTATATAAGTAGAAACCTTCACTACTCACCATTGCTTTTCAGCTAAAGATCTCACTTTGAAATTACTAATCAACTTAATGAACTTTGCCCTCCTTTTCATAAGCCAAGAAAATATTAAGAATTTAGTTAAGTGAACATTTACAATTTTATACCTAGGAATTCATTCCCACCCAGGTAAATCTGCATTTGCATATTGAATGAGAACCCTTAAAGTTGGATTTAACTTATTTTCTGTCTCTATAGCTGGACTTCATATATTTCACTGTTCCCTAATTAGAAACTCTTCCCTAGAGTAGGGGACATGTTTCATGTTTAAATAAACTAGCACTTCACAGAATACTGGGATTTCAGAATTTAAAGATGCAGAGTTCATTTCCAGTAATGGTGAACTGGCACATTCAGACCAACCCTCCTGCTGGTAACGGCCAACTCGGAACAAAATTATTTCCCCCCTAAATATACTGGAGAATAGCTAGAAGCAGGCTGAAGGTAGAAGGCAGTTGACACTCAAGATCAGCACTGTCTGAAATTCCCATTTTTAACAATTTTCACTTGAGGGAAGATCCCAGTAAGTGGCCACGTAGGCAGTAGCCAAGTTTTATTTACTGGTTAAGGAATCAGAGGAGAGTTTAGAACAACCACAGCAACTGAAATATGAGGGAGGGAACCCCAGAAAGGAGAGGCCCCCCCCCAACTTTGCTCAATCTCTGGTTGACCAGTGAACTATATATGCACAGGGCAGCCCGGGTAAAGCTAAACTGAGCAGAGGTTTCAACTGCTGCCCCTCGACAAAAGATGACAAACGTTTGGAATTGGAGATCAGCCAAGTTTACTGCCTACTAAAAACAAAAATTAACTATTTTTCAGAGATATGAAACAGGATCGAGTCTTTATAATGTATCATTCATAATGATAATATAATCCAGGACCACTGGACATATTAAGAAAAAGGAAAATGTGACCCATATAAATGCAATTAAAACCTGAAGACTACTAAAGATTTTCCTTTTAGTTATGATTGATGGTATCCATTCCATACAGCTTTCTGCTGATAAATTACATGCTCCAAACTTTAAAGACTAGTTTAACCTCTAAATTGCAATCAAGTGAATCTCTAGTTTGCATATTTCTAGTACTTTAAGGTAGTTTATTTTTCTCTTTAAATTTATGCTATCTCAGATTTGAGAACTACTTAATCTGAAATCATTCTTAAATTGAAGTATATGTAAAAACCTATTTGTCATTTAACACTTTAAGTATTTCAAGAAATGGCCATCTTATTAAATATTTACCAGTAAATACATAAAGCACTCTTTAAAGGAACAATCATTTATCCAGCCAAGGACACAATGGAAATCCACACAGAAAAAGACAACAGTAAAGATTCCCTTACATTGTTTCTCCAAAAGTATACGCTAAACATTTTGTGATCACTGAAACAGGTGAAACGGTGATGACCTTTTAAGTAACTTAATACTGTTCTACAGTGTGCAGAAAAGATACATCCAGGCTTATAAAAGCAATAATAGTAGTTAAGAACACACACAAGAGGCAGTCATAAATAAGAATTTGGACCATTTTGATAATCCACTCAGAATAGCCAATAAATGAATATTTAAGAAATGTTTATTTTCAGATCTTCATTTCCTACTGTAATATATTTGAGTCACCACTTAATATTTGAATTTTATAGATATACCTCCTTAACTTGGTTAATTTTATACTCCAGACTATAAACATCAATGGTACCTTAAAAATCTAAACACATAAATTCTACTGCTAAACTGCAAGAATTTGGGGATTAAATAAAACAAATGAGAGACTATCATTTTTTTATTTACATGAGTTTACACATATTTTAATCTTATTCTAATGACTGACTTGTTTCCAATATGAAAACCAAGTTTAAAAGAACTTGATCGCCTTGCTTCAAATACAGCTGTTCACATTCCATACTCCAGTTCCATCCACGTAGTAAATGCAACTTTACTGTATCAGATCAAAGCTACTTAACATAAATTCAGTGAAGTTGAACCTTTCATAAACAGCATGGAAATGTGTGTTGAAAAAAAATTTTCCAGGCTACTACTATAAGTAGCTTTTTTTCTTTGCAATATTAATGTACTGAAATAAAATGTATTTAAAATATAGATATGAGATTATTCCATTCAGTCCAAACCTATTAAATACCTTCCAAAAGTTTCATAATTCAGTCCTAGAAATTCTGTGAGCTGTGAGCATTTCCTGTTCAGAAATGTGACCTCTACAAAAGCTCCCAGGAGATTTCAGAAAAAATATATGTAATCTTCTAATTTAAAAGTTGATTGGTTTGCCAAATGATGCAGCCAGGTTTGCTTCTCTAAAAGCTTCTGATAAGGTCTGCAAAGGAAATAATTAAAAATTAAAAATCAAGTATTTGTGGATCAAAAGAAAATTTAGGTAGCGATTAATTCTGTTGTGTTGTTAATAGTTACCGGATGTGCATGACAGACTCGAGCTATATCTTCACAGGATGCCCCATATTCCAAAGCAAGAGCAGCTTCATTTACCATTTCACCAGCACCCTTTAAAATAATAAACCAAGAAGTAATTGTGTCTCCATGGCAAAAACAACTACACACTAATGGGACAGATTAATTGTAAGAGCCGTTAACTAACTGCCTCCAGCCAGGAAACACTTGGCAGAAAAGGTGGCACAGAAGTTAAGAGCTTAGATGGCCTGGATTTAAAGTCTACCCCTCAGACTCGGTGTGCTTGATTCCATTTATTCTCCTCAAAAATGGGAATAGTCATGCCGACCACACAGAGTCAACACTCAAATGTTCATTACTGCTACAGCAGATACCTCAAGGGAAGGCATGCTGCAGATTCAGTGGTAGGACAGGCTTCTCTTGGAAGGTAACACTTGAGCTGACCTGAGGAACACAGGAGCCACTCATGCAGAGATCTGAAGGCAGAGCATTCTAAGCAAAGGGTATGACTACAAGCACAAAGGTTCTAAAGTGGGAAAAAGTCTGACCTGCTATGAAATTGAGAGAAGGCCCATGAGGCAGGGAATTCTTTAATAAAAGGGAGGAGTGGAAAGAGATGAGGTCAGAAAGGCAGGCAGGACTAGATATAGAGGGGCCTTGTATGTAAGTCTGCAGGTGCAATAACCATTGGAGAGTTTGAAGCAGGCACATGGTGCGTGTTTTAAAGGGACGATCACAGTTGCCGTGTGGCAAGTAGACAACATGGGCATGACTGAGAGTGCTGCTGGTTCCTTCCTTGCTAGAAATGCACCCAGAGGCCATATTCAGACTTTACTGGTAAATAATAACCTCAGGATGGAAACACCAGGTGGTTTTAAATAAACCTACTAAATAGCAATATTTTCCAGAAATCCTAACGGGGTTTCTGGTTCTTTTACAGTACTCACTGGTCCCAGAATATGTGCTCCCAATACTCTATCCGTTGATTTCTGCCCAAGAATCTTCACCATGCCGTCTGTGTCAGCATTTGTCTTAGCTCTGCTGTTTGCAGCAAATGGGAATTTCCCAATTTTGTACTCAATACCCTGTGAGACAGAAAATGAGAACCTAGGTAAACTCTGAAAACCTTCATTTGCCATTGGTGAAATCTACCATTTGTCCAGAAAATAAATCCCAAGAAGGGAATTCTTCACAGAACATAAAGAAGGAAAGACCAAAAGGCTTGTTAATGAAATATATTTTGGGTAAAAAAACACAAGCAAATGCAAATTTTGGTCTGTGTATATTTCAAAGCCAAAAAGAAAAGCTCTGGAATTACTAGTTTTGAATACAGGCAAGTGGATGATCTCCTTTGTAATACTACAGGAAAAAAATATATACTAGACTATAATGTTCCACATAGTTATTAAAATGCATTAATGCAATAATCAAACAATCCTCAGCTACCAGTGTCATTAACTCAATTCACACACTGGAGTGCAACTCCCCTTGCTCAGGATTACCTCTTCTTTCAACTGCTCCTCTGATTTGCCAACCCAGGCAACTTCCGGGTGTGTGTATATCACCGACGGTACACAGTTGTAGTCAATGTGCACGGCACCACCAGCCATTCCTTCAACACAGATGATGCCTTCATCCTCTGCTTTGTGAGCCAGCATAGGACCCGCAACCACGTCACCAATAGCATAGATACTACCACAGAGATCAAAAGAAACACAGTGAGCCTCTGAAACCAGGTCTTCACCTTCAGTTGTGCCATGTTAACAAAATTATAAACTGCGAGTTGTTAAGTCACAAAAAATATATTAAACACAGCTCTTCGATTATCTGAGTTTGGGTTCTAATCTTTGGGTAATGAAAAAAATTCAATTAAGAATTTTTGCTTTAACATTAATTTACTACTCTTCCCCAAAGCCAATGCATTTTTTAAACATGTCAAAAGTCTTATTTTCAAAATAGCATTTGACATAAACTTTAAATATTGAAAATGCAACTTACTTTGGAATTTTAGTTTGGAATCTGGTATTGACTGGAATTCTACCTCTAGGATCTAAGTCAATGCCAAGGTCTTCTAGTCCCAAATTCTGAGTGAAAGGTCGTCGGCCAATGCAAACCAAGAGTACATCACAAGTGATAACTTCAGCTTTACCACCAGAAGCAGCTTCAATACTAGACAATGAACAGTGAATAACTGTTAAACACATATATACATA